GACCTAAAAATGAATTAAATTTTAAAAGTCTTAACATACAGTATTATACACAAACTAAAACAATTCAAATAAACACCTTAATCATTTTATTGGGGGAGCATTTATTTCCATTTAAGATGTTTAAGGCTCACAAAAAAACACAATCTCCCCTCCCACACACAGAAGACATCTGCCAGCATTATTAGTTACAGGACGTTAAGCTTATAAACAAGCATAAGCCCTCTGACTTCTGGGGAAAACATAAAATCATCAAAAAAGACAAACTATTCAAATTACTAAAATAATACATAGCACTGAGATACTTCCAAGTTTTAACATTTGTAACTTCAGATACCAGTTAAGCATCTTTTGCTTAAACACATAAACAGAGAAGGTTCAATGGACAAAATGTCAATCAGTGCAAATTATCTAAAATAATAAATTGCTAACATCCATTAAAATATGCACAAAGCTCAAACAAAAGCAAGTAGAATTAAAAACCTGGAGAACTATCACCTCTCATAATTATCAACAAAGTAGACACACATACAGTATATCACGCTAATAATTTCAATCAATAATGAGAACAGTTTTAGAATGACAAAATTCCACCATGGTTACAATCCATGACTGCAACAGCTGAAATGTTAAGTCAATGAGATAATCACATAATCAATTTCTCATCACAGATAGTGTCAACAACCACAATATGGATACATTAACTCAGTGTTTTATCACTTTGCCCACAGGAATGTTCTCTCTGCATTTGAACTGAACTGGCTGTGCATCCTTTTGAAAGCCCAGTTTTGCAAGTGCCATTTTAAGAAGTCTCAACCTGAAATGTGAAGGCTTAAAAATCAAGCACTCCTCTTGTTTCACCAGCACAGCGGATATGCAAAAAATGCTCAAATGCGCAGCTCGCCCTAGTCCTGGAGGCATGGATGACAGCACACCTCAAGGACGAGAAGAATTGTTTTTCCTATTGGCCATGTTTGTACAGTCAACTGCTGACTGCCTGCGTCAACAGTCAATAGCCTCTACTGCAGCGGGGTCCCAGTGCAGTCCTGTAACACTTGCCTGTTGGTGCTTCAGTGCTGGGAGGGCCGGAAGCTAGGCTTCTGCTGCTGTTGACCTTACCAGACCTTAGTATCAAAACCCTGTAACATCTCTGATCTCTCAGGATTGTCTCCAAAAAAGTCTGAATCTCAGCTGTGGCTGGCAACAAGTGATCTATGGATGAGCCAAGAGATTGGCCCGTACAAAAAGAGGCTATACATTAATCCTGAGCAGTTTCGAATTAACACCGCTCTGAATGTCAAGCACACTGTAAGGCAGAATAGCTCTATATCGTGAGCACTTCATTACTTTCTCAGCAAAGCTGATGGTGTCCGTGTATGAAAGTCACCTCGTTAATTTCCTAGGTTTATGAAGGGACACAGAGCTGAGAATGTCTCTGAATTCTCTGGCCACTCACTACTGTCACTCATGTTACTGTAACAAGCAAGCAAAAGGGGATTAGGCAGACAGACCTAAGCTATGTTAATGGGGTAAAACAACACAGCAGGACTGATTACTGGGTCACATACTGTATGGTTTGTTCTGTTCCAGTGTGAAAACTCAGCACTATGCTGACCAGTATAAAAACAACAGAACCTGGCTGCAAGCCAGCTCTCCACAAAAATACCTTTGTTTTATATGTAACAATGAACACAAAGGCTGTTACATTCATGTTTGCTAAACACAGCCCTTTAATGCTGCTTCATTAATTTTCAAAACTAACTTTAGACGCTTGTCTGAATATAGGCAGTTAATTATTTTACTGAAATACAACCAGAGTCAAAACCAGGCAGTGCAGTCTATTCAGCCCAAATAGCTAAGGCAGGCTCAGCAGTGATTAAATTACCAACAGCAGGTCAAGAAGTCTAGGTTATTCCACTTTTGTCCCTGAAATCAAAGAGGATCCATCACTGCTTTAACCTTTTCGAAAAAGGTCTATACCCTCTTGCATTTTCAAGAATGGAAAAATATTTAGATGCAAAAAGCCCAAGAGAAGACTCTCCACAGAACATTTCATGAAACTCTATTCAATGCACTTAATTAATTGCACTTTCTGTTAACCTGGGGCGATGTCTGAGCAATTCAAAGTTGCCCTGCGGGTAGCTGCAGAGAAATATGTTTGAAACTGTGAGTCTTCCAGGCCACTGCCAGCAGGACTTTCCAGGCTACAGGCTGAGCAGCTTCTGTCATCATTGCACAGCTTATACACAGCTCCCCTCCCACTCCACTGATTACAATCTCCTGCCAGTCAGTTTCTTCTCCAGCACAGGCGCAGGGGCTCAGCAATTAAACTTATCACTGCTGCCATTCAAAAGGCTATCTTCACTGACCACACTGCACTTAAAGAGGAATGCACTATTTCCCTCAGAGCACCCAGAGTGCAACAATGAGACTAAATGAAATGACATCTAGCCACATGCAAGCGACTGCTTAAACATTCTTTCTGTGCCCCAGAATGCTTTCACCCTGGATAAATGCTGTTTCCTCATTGTGCTACTATAGCAGTTCTTAGGTGAGCCAGACTGAATGGAGAAACAAACCAGAACCCCGCTCTTTTCTTGAAGCAAAATGGTGAAAGCTAGATGACACAAGGCACCATCAGACAGCTGAGTGGATTAAAGAACAAGAACTCATCACAGAGATGAGCGATGCTGTAAATAAACCCCGGGCGAGTGCAGCAGGGAACTGTGGCATCACATGTTCACCTCGAGTTCTGCAGCTTCCATGGGAGTGTGCAGGGGGAAACTCCTTGACCACAGATCTGATACAGCTTCTAGATTGTAAAGAGACTGGAAAGGGTTTTTCAGATACTCCTGCGCAAATACCGACAGCTCCGTGCTTTCTCAACGGCTCCCATTAAAAGATATAAATGTCTGAAGAGAAAATGGTACAGACCACCCGTTCCCCAAGACTGCCTCAGCCACTGAATCTCTGCGACTATGAAAGCACTGCTACTAGAATCTCTACTACTAGACTATGAAAAGCTGAGAAGTGTCGCTCAGGCAAACAATGGTCTTTAATGGTGGTCCGTTGCTTTAATAAAACACAGAAACAAGTCAAGAATATTGATGAGGAAACCAGCAATGGCATCTGACTGTTTTTGTCGCGCAAAAGAGAAAAAAGGCTGAACTTTTTCAGATGAGATACAGTTCTAAATTTTTTTTTTATCAAAGCAAAAAATACCACAAAAGGGACCAATGTCTGCCTATCATTGGCTTCTGTAAACTCCCAGGGATTTAATCTCTACTCTGATGACTACTGTACATGCTACTGGATGGAGACCCAATTAAGATTTATTTTTGCCAATAACACTGCCTGACCCAAAGTGTTACAGGGGCAAAGACCCGGAATTACATTTAAGTCACAGAAAAAAACTCATGCCAGATACAATGCGGTCTAATGAGGTCAATTTCCCTAGCGCATGATGGGGAAAAAACACCACAAGACATCCAAATGTGCTTTATTGCCCTGTACACTGTAATCTCAGTGAGACAGTAGCAACCAGAGGTACAGTAAATGAAGCCGGACAGTTTTTTCATCTCTGCGCTCTTAATTAATGACCACATTCATATTTTTCTTTTGTCTTTATTGAAATGCGTGTTTGATACTGAATTTAAAAAGAAAACAGTTGTGTGTAGATCACAATAATACATTACTAAGCCCTCGAAAAATGACAGATGGATATCTATATCAGAAAAAATCAAGTTATTTTCCTACAGCCTTCCTAATATCAGCAACTGCTCAACAATTTATTCCAGTCACTCGTGAGTTGTATTCAGGGAAGTATCTGCCAACAGTGACTGACTGGCTCCCAGCCATGTGCTGCATGGTATTATTGTATTATAGCTCATCATGCCCTTTAAGGAGTGAAAGCTGTAGGCAAACTAAATATATTTTTAAAATAAACTTCAAGGCTCCTGATGAATAAATTACATCTTCCCTTCACTTTTACAGCGACGCCTCCCTTACAGCCCCACAAAGACAGCGTGGAGGACAAACGTGCGCCCAGAACAAGATACAGGGACTGTAGAAATTGTGCACAGACCATCCAGAGATGACTTCTGATATCACTGGATTATAATATTACAAGCATTTCTGTTAAAGGCGCCTGAAGAATTAAAAAATGGTCTTCAGGGCATTGTGGATGGATGCTACCTTACAGCGGTGGTGCTCGAAACCACAAGTAAGTAGACTGACCTGTGCAACAGTCTACCGCAACCTGTTCAAAACCATTAGTCCTGTACTAGCAATGTAGGGTTGTGCTGAAGGCTGCCTTGGGTTAAAAAATCAAATCAATTTTTTTGTAGAATTTAAAAAAAGATCAGATCTTTCGACTCAACAACAACAACAAAAAAAGAATAGAAAGGTCCAGGGTGACTCTGGAAAGGTACCTAGTAACTCCATCGTCCATCAAAACACTGGCACCGCTGACTGGGTTCAAAATCACCCCTTCGACCTCATCACCCCCTTCTAGAGAAACCGAAATTGCCTGCTACTGTAGATGCGCTTTAATGTCATCGGCACGAAGGGAACTGTCTAGGAGTAGGATGTTATGCTCTGTCACAAACCACTAGTCAGAAATAAGTGCCTTGAACTTGTAATGTTAGGAAACCTTCATTCTCCAGCTGCTGATGCGGACTGAAGACTGCGCACGATAGATACCGATATTTCAGGTTTACGAATAAACCGGAGCTTTTCAAACTGATTTTTTCTTCTTCACTTTTCTCGGCACTCATACACACTTTTCAGTTAGATTTATTCCCCTGTGGACAAACGAATATTCTGTTTCGTGTTTTCTTTCAGAGCCGGCGTGCGCCTCTGCCGAAGCACACACTATCCCATTGCGGGCGGTGCGATCCACGGCGTTTCTGGCGTCGGCTATCAGCAGAATTAACAGGCAACCTTTGTTCCCCCTCGCCCCGCAACACAGCCGCATTGCATGATATGAAGTTATGTGCACTTACCGAAAAACCAGCCCAGAAGGGACAGGAGTGCCTGACTCTCGGCGAGGTAGTAAGAGCCAAAGCGGCGAAACTGACAGCCAGTATCAAGCTGCCCAGCACCATCTGAGAAACTCCGAGCGAAAGCATGATCCGCGTTCGAGTCCGAAACTCCCGGAGCCTGGACAGACTCCGGGACAGAGACACTGGGCTCAGCGAGCGGCCCCTGGGCAGAGCGCTAACCGGCATAATTGTTTCGAGATGCAGTACTTATATAAAAAGAAGATTCAATTGAAAAAAGCACAAAAGCATCGGCATCCAAAGTGAACTCTGCCTTTCTGGCCTGCTTTAAAAAAAAAAATACTCCAACTTAGCGTTTTATACAAACCAGCGCTGTCCAAATTGTACCGCGGTGTAAATCCGAACGCGGCTTTGCAATACCCAGCCCGTTTCGGAAGAAGGCGAAAAGCTGCAGATGCCAGCCGCGGGATGCGCGAGTACTCAGGGAAACGAAAACGCATCAGTTGCGTCTCTCCTGAGAAAGACCAGCAAGTTGCAAGTGCGCTAGCACATCCTCCAGTTCCCGGCGCTGGTCCCAGTCAAACTAAAGCAGCAGCGACCGAACTTGAAACCGCACGTCGGAAAGCGCACTCGAGCAAAGGTGAGCAGTTCCCTCGGAGCCAGTAATGCACCATCTCATTCCAATTATTCACAGCGCACACGAGGCTCCGGGCTCTGGGCTCCTAATGGATGGGATTGAAAAAGTACCTGGCATCGTTGCTTTCCTCGTTGACAGGAGCTGCAAAAGCGCCTTCTAGGGAAACATAATTCCAAAGAGAAAACAGCATTTACATTAACTCCACGGAAACTATGGGGGGGGAAGGTAAACAGAAAAGGGGGAGATATCGTGGTGGATCCACTGTTGCCTGCTACCGCAGCTCCGTCACGGTTGTGTCCACAGCCCGCGCGTCGTGAGGCAGAGCCGGCTGCTGTTCCTACAGCAAACACTGCGAAGCCCGGGCGAGAGACGCTCGATGGCTGGGGAGCTCAGCCTGCCTGCCTGTCTGCCTGCCTGCCGGTGTGTTACAGTGTGACGGGGGAGGGACAGCAGGGGCTGGGACAGGCGTGCGGGCAGGGGAGCGAGAAAGGAAGTGGAGCGAAATGAAAGGGTTTAGCGGGGAGGGAGGTGCTGAGGAAAGCGGCGAGAGGAAAAGGTGGTGCGAGTAAGTAGTGGTGGCGGCGAGAATTGTTCAATTACGGTATATGACTGGAGAGCAAGAAGTGCCCGAAACCGTTACTTTATTTTTCTTTTTTTTTAAAAAAAAAAAAATACCGCCTGTAAATCTAACGCAGGTAAATGATGCGGGCTGCAAACCGCTCCGGCCGAGGTAGCTGATGGCTGATTATCTTTGAAATCGTGTAATGCAGGTGCATCGCATGCGGTCAGCTGCTCTGTGGAGGTGTCGAAGCGCAATGATTTTAATTGGAAAGCTCGTCCACGATCACGGCTAAGACGTGAAGGAACAATAAATAACACGGTCGAAACCTCTCCATAGCGGCGCCAGTGCTTGCACTTTCAGTGCCTGTATCCAAACACCTCTCACGTATTGCTAGAAATCCCCTGAATGAATCCATTTTTTTTCCGGACCGGTTTTTTTAAAACCGGTTTCTTAATCCAGCGAGTCTCTATGAGATTTCCATAATATACTCAACTGGAAACCCTACCCTCCCTGTCTGTGTATACGTTATTGTAATTGATTGGAACCACGAAAAGCACGAAGGCGCTTTGGGATTTCGATGTGAGCCACACACCAAACAGAAGCAGATAAAAATATCTAGACACTTACAAGAGCTATAGCACTATGTGAGCAGAAGGAACTGCGCTGCACCCTCATGCGTACGTTTTGTGATCAGAAGAGAGAAGAGATCTGCTTTTCAAAACAAGTTGCAACAGTTTGTAAGAGGCTCCGTATTGCCAGTGCCTGCCTTCAAATACCTGGGGGCAGCCTCCTTTAAAAACAGAATAATTGTAGGATTATTCCATAGGAAGAGATTCTTGAATGAACAGGGGGGGTTTTGCAGTAAAACAGGTATAAGAGAGCATAGGAATGACACCTTTTCAAAAGATTAATGTTAAAAGATAAACCTTTAAGCTCCCCATAGTAACTATTTAGTCACCTGATCAATTTACAGCTTCAGTGTCACTTTCTTATTGGGTTGAAACAGATGATCAGATCACGCCTTATAATATTGTACACTGTAGGACAGCAGATCCCAGCAAGATGTCCTACATTCATGTTTTGTACAATGTAGAACTCGTAACACAGCCAGCAGCTACAGTATAGCACCCTGCAGCTCTCAACTGGCTACCTGCTGAAGCTAAGCGGGGTTGAGCCAGGTCAGTACCTGGAGGGAGGACCTCCTGGGAAGCTATGGCTGCTGCTGGAAGTGGTTTTAGTGGGCGACCACCCTGCAGTCTCGGTGGGTCCTAATGGCCCGGAATAGTGGGGCGGGGATACTATACTGTAGTGGGCGCCATCTTTCGGTTGAACGTTGAGCTGGTTAAACCGAGGTCCTGACTCTCAGCGGCATCTCTTGATAAGAGTTGGGGGTTATCCTCCAGATTGTCCCCCTGTATGATTGGCTTGTACCCTGCCTTTTGCTCGTTGCTTTGGCACTTCCTGTGACACCGTATGGTATGAAGCGGTTTGGTGAATGAGATGACATGACTCATAACAGTCCTTCCCAGGGAACTATGCGCCGCACTGCAGCTATGCAAGTCCTGGCCTCCGTCTGCAGAGAGCGGCGCTCTCAGTTCAGACTGCCATCGTGCTCTGCTCTCCTTCTCGCGTGTCTCACATCCCCTTCCTTTCCTTCCTTTCCCATCCGTTCCCTCTGCGCCCTGCCGGTGCCAGACGAGGCTAATGAGAAACACGCACTGCATGTAACCTTACCTGCAGCCCCAAAACACAGTGCGTTCAGAGCCCTCTTGTGTTGCCCAGAAGAAACAGGCGAGGGACACGGAGCGTGTTCTGCTACCACCCCCGACATGCTGCCCTGGTCAGCGGACGGGCCCACCACACCAGGCTAGTCCCCTGATGAGCTTGAGCCCCCCCCGGCAGCAGGCTGTCCTCTCTGGGAAAGGCAGGCGGCTGGGCACAGCACAGCAAAGCCAGAGATTAGCACACGAGCCCGCGCCCCCATGTCTACAGGAGCCTCGTGTGTTTGTCGAACAACAACCCGTGTTCTTCTGAAGTAGTCTGTGGGAGCCACCCACACTGCACACAGCGCTAACCAACTCCCCTCACACTGGGGTGGCTGTGAAGCACAGTCAGTGCCTGCAAGCACAGACACACCACAAGCCTCTGTGTACTTAGCCACTGTGAGCAAGAAGGCGAAGATGAGGAGCCCCACAGCCTCACGACACAGCAGACACACACACACGCACACAAAACACTTTGGAGTTTTCAGAACATTGTGTTGTTGGCAGTTTAGCCAGGGCATCAATCAGTAATCCCTGCAGGCACAGGACTTGGCTGAAATTCAGGGCAAGCATCCCTTACTAAGCCAAGGAACACCATGCTAGTTTTAACAAAAGCCTGTGCTAATAATGAGAATGATTTAAGACTTTATGGGGGGGACAAAAAGACAACTTAATGCAGAACATGATGGATATATCCTATCTGGCCTGAATCCACATTGCCTGTGCTGTTTGTCTTGTTTACACTCACTGTAGATCACAAGAGACGCCCTCTTCCTAAACGTCTTCCTGCGCCTTTAATACAACACATTATGGTTTACTGTTAATTATGGTGATTACCACTCTTTTTGTCTGGGGGAGGGGGTTTATTTAAGAGCTCCACCCTTGTCAAACCCTGGATTCATGTAAAATCCACACTTAAGAAGCAGCATGTGAAGAGGAATGCACTTGAGATTCAGTTGATGCCACCACTCCCTTGTCTTACAGCCACTAGATTTGCTAATAATGTGGTTAAAATCAGCAGTGCTGTAAAACGTTCATTTTAGTTAATAAGTTACTTCGTTAACAGAGTGTGGATAAAATAGTGTGACTCCTTGAATATAGACTTTGTGCGGTTAACTGCTGTTCTGAAGTTGCAGTGATGGTTTGTAATGGTATTTTTTAATGTTTGTACATGGTTTGTAACCATTGCATCCATCCCTGATTTGTTGGATCGGGCTGTTTTCACCTGTAGTCTGCAGAAATATTCAGCTTCCCCTGCAGGTACAGGGGCGCCGGTGGCCGTCCTGTTTTCATAGGCAGAGGTTCGCAGGTCGTTGTTCTGTTCTTATGTATTTTGAATTGATCAATACACTACAGAGGCATCAGTATAATTTTTACATGCTGTCAGTGGAAGCAGCAATTCTCAAAAGCCATTAATGTTTCATTCCATCTCCCTATCAATATGCAAATGACGTTGGTAGCCAATAATAACGAGACGATGACAATTCATTTTACACATCTCGATCAAAACATTGTTCGGGAACGCATTAGTGATTATTAATACAACCGACCAGACCTTGGCCACTCAGGACCGATCGCTGTGTAATCCATCATCTGAGAGGTTCGCGGTATCTCAGAGGGCAACACTGCTTGTGTATGATTTATGATATAGAATCCTGCTGACTTTTTTTTTTGTATTACCTCACAGCTTTAGTCTTTGCAGCTTTCATGAATGTGTTGAGAGTTTGAACCTTCAGTGAAACCCTAACGACTTATTTTTAAAATAATGAAGCGAACGGCCCCAAACTCGGCCGAACGACTGCAAAACACAGGCGGGAGATAAAACGGCTGTGCAGTTTCATGATTTTCGTATTATTTATACAGGAGTGTGCTATTCACCTGATGAGGCAGAGGTAAGGAAAAAAAACTATAGGGTTAGACAGAAAGGGCAGTCCCCCGTCGCTTGCGGCGCAGAGTCTGAAAGGTGGATATATGGCCCCTTTATATAGGGGCGGGGGATGCTTTTCAGGTGAAAGGGCAGGGAGTAACAGCACGCTACAGTCAACAGAAAACGCTGCCTTAAAGACAAAAAAATATTTACGGTTATTATTTCACCCAGAAGACTGCAGGCTAGGGAGATTCTTCGCATTGATGTGATGTAAAAAAAAAAAACACAAGTTGCCTAGATCTAGGCTGTTAGACCAGGAGTCTTGTCCCTTTAGGAATGCACAGTCGGTGATTTCCATTTCTATGGAGAAATGGAAGAAGCGTATTGAATATCACCGGTAACCAGCGGCGACACCTAGAGCAAAACAAAGGCCGAAATGGGCCACATCTTCCCTTTCTAAAAATTAAAACGTGTTTGCTTTTTACATGAATACTATTAGTATAAGCTCGAGGATAAAAGCTGTGCGCTCGTCAACAATAAAATAACCACAGAATCGTACAATATTTCTGCCTACTACACAGGAACTGACCTACGTTTTGTCTTGAGGTAGTATACCCTTGAGTTTCGAAAACATTTCAACTTCACCATCTTTTCTACTGCGACCGAAGAAAAAGGGCTGTTGGAGCCAGCTGTGGATATAATTCGTCATGCACTTCATTGTAAGGTCGTCTCTATTTTACAGTTCCTCAAGAAAAATCGCGCTTCAGTATGGCGGTCGTCTCAAACAATCGCAAATTCCTGTCGAGGGTCGGGTGAATCGGGGTTGGCGGGGATTAGAAACATCTGGTTCCCGTCAATCTGAACGCGAACCTCAAACATTCTGCGCACTACCTATGCAGACAGTATTAACAATTTCAATGTACGAAAAGCCTCAAAGTTCAGCCCTTCTTGTTCAGACTGATTTAAACCGCTTGTATTTTGCGCACGGCAAATACGCTTGTATTAACTCAGAGGACAAAATAGGTGGTGGCGGTGGAGGGGAGTCCCCATTACCTGTAAAGCGCTTTGAGTGGAGTGTTCAGAAAAGCGCTATGTAAGTGTAAGCAATTATTAATTATTATTAAAATAGAGGAATTGTATCTAATAAACGCGATTACCGAAAAGGTTCATTTTTGTGGCATACCCATACTTTTGACAAGGATGGCCCTATAGCTACCCATATGCCGAGTCGCCTCTAAGTGTTACTGTCAGCTCATCTCCATCTTTTTGAGGAGAAATGCACCTGTCTTCATCCTTGTTCACAGCCGAAGAGGAACCACTCAGTCAAACCAACTGTGGACAGAGCCATTACGCATA